CTGACTGCTCTTCCAGAGGTCCTGAGTTCAATTCCCAGCAACCACATGGTGGCTCACAACCATCTGTAATGAGATCTGGTGCCCTCTTCTGGCCTGCAGTCATACGTGCTGTATACAAAATAAATAAATAAATCTTAAAAAAAAAAATTCTTTGAAAAAAAAGGAAAAATAAAAAGGTAAAAAAAAAAAAAAAATTGTGGCTGTTCTGTCTCTGACCCCAGATAAGTTTACTAGGGTACACAATATTTTGGGGGACACAATACCACCACAGATAAAGACTCTAGTTAGGTACCAGCTTGACTTCAACATGTTCAATGAGATATGTAGATATTGTCTTCAGCAATAGGGCTTTACTGTCAGTTTATGGAAAGCAACCAATAGCCTTGGTAATAGCTTGAGTTGTTTGGGGATTTCGATGGTGCCCCCTTGGCCAACAACTCAATTAGATGTAACCCATTCCTGACACTGGAGGTTTCACATGGTAACAAGAAATGTCTAGTTAGGGCTTTATCTCCCCTGTTATTTGGTGACTCCATTTATATATCTTTCATATTTTGCTGTGGAATAATCCTTCTGTACACTGTGTGAATATATGTTGCTGTTATTGGTTTAATAAATAAGCTGACTGGCCAATATCTGAACAGGATGAAGTTAGGTGGAAAAGCCAAACTGAGAATGATGGGATGAAGATGGGCAGAGTCAGAGGAGTTGTCAGCCAGATGAGGAACGAGTTAGACACACAAAATGAGATAGAGGTAAAAGCCTCAAGCCTCAGGGTAACACATAGATTAATAGAAATGGGTTGTTGTAAGAGCTAGTTAGTAACAAGCCTGAGCTATTGGCCGAGCATTTGTAAATAATAGAAGCCTCGGTGTGTTTATTTGAGAGCAGCTGCAGGACAGGAAAACTCCACCTACAATATATGTATATATTTTAAGAAGCTTCTACTATTGTAGGTTTCCATGTAACACCTCAAATGGCTCTTGGTGTTAGCTGTCCCTTCCTGCATTCCCTCTATTGACCCCCTTTTCCTCCTTCCTGATGTTTAGTCTTCCCCTGTAATCTCCATCCCTCATCTTTCTTGAACTACATATTTTAACTCCTCTTCCTTTGGAGATCCTACCCCACCCTAATTTATTACTCTATAACTATAACATACTCTATAATCTCCGTGGTTGTACTGATAACAGCATACCTATTGAAGGCTTAAATGCTAACATCTGTTTATAAGATATTCTCTTATACATACTCGATTTTTTTACTTGCCTTTTTGGGTCTCAGTTACCTCACTGAGCATGATTTTTTTTTCTAGCTCTATCCGTTTACCTGCAAATTTCATGATTTTGTATTTTTTTTTAGCAGCTGAATAATATTCCATTGTATAAATGTATCACATTTTCATTACCCATTCATCCACTGATAGACAGCTAGGTGGTTTCCAGTTTCTGGCTATTATGAATAGAGCAGCAATGAACATAAATGGACAAGTGTCTCTTTAGCAGAATGGAGGGTCCTTTGGGTATATGCCCAAGAGTAGTATAGTAAGATCTTGAAGTATATCTATTCTCAGCTTCCTGAAGAACTGCCATACTACCTTCCATAGTGGCTGCACAAGTTTGTACTCCCATCAGCAATAGATGGGTGTTCTTACCCCATATCCTCCCCAGCATGAGCTGTCATTTGTTTTGTTGATCTTGGCCAATATTGTATAAAATGGAATCTCATATAAAATGGAAGTAGTTTTGATTTGCATTTCCCTGATGATTAAAGATGTTGGACATTTCTTTTTTTTCTCAGCCATTTGTGTTTTATCTTTTAAGAAATCTTTGTTCTGGGCTGACTCCCCAGGAGAGACCTTGCCATGGAGGAGGTGGGAATGGGGTGTGGATTGGGGAGGAAGGCTGGGGGTTGGGAGGAGGGAGGACAGGGGAATCTGTGGCTGATATATTAAATTAAATTAATTATAAAATAAAAATATTTTTTTTAAAAAAGAAGTCTTTGTTTAGTTCTGTACCTCATTTTTAAATTGGGTTATTTGTCTTCTTGATGTTCAAGGGGGTTTGTTCTTTGGCACAAGCATAGGGAATAGTTTAGTAATCTGGGATATTAACTTTCTATCAGATATGTAATTGGTAAATATCTATTCCCATTCTGTAGCCTTCTGTTCTTTCTTAATGGCTGCTCCAGCACTGTGCCTAGCTGCTGTCATGCTCCCCATCATAATGGGCATGAACTCACCCTCTGAAACTGTAAGTCCCTATTAACGCTTTCTTCTGTAAGACACTTTGGTCATGGTGTCTCTTCACAACAATGGGAAAGCAACTAAGATAGATCCATTTGAAAGATGTAAAGCCAGAGGTCATGGTTTACATCTTTGATCCCAGCACTCGGAAGGCAGAGCCAGGCAGATCTCTCTGAGTTTGAAGCCAGCCTGATCTACAGAGTAAGTTCTAGGATGCCCAGGGCTACACAGAGAAACTCTAGCTCAAAAACTCAAAATAATAACAATAATGATAATAAATAAAAATTAAAAAGGAAGAAGATGTGAAGTACCTTGTCCATGATAACCCAGCTAATAAGGGATGTTACTGGACTCAAGTCCTGTTTTGTTCCAGCGTCATCTGGTGGACCACAAAGACCTAAGCAGGTAGAAGAACAAGAAGAAGGAAACCAGCAAATACTGAAAGCTGAAGAGAAAGACAGATCTCCAAGCCAAATGTTCAGAAGTCAATGGATGCTTGAGCCAGACATGAGGAAAGAGGGGAGGGCATTAGAAAGCAGTCCCACAGCAAATGGGTGAACAGCTGCCAGTGTGTCACCATCCGGTGCCCTGAAGTTAGAAGCCAGCTGTTTATACCATAGAGAATTGCACTGGACCTTCCAGAAGGAAACTACCCACAGATCTCTGAAAGTCAAAGGCGTCGATCCTATAATATTAGGAAATCCATCTGTGCCGGCTAGTTTATGTCAACTTAACACAAGCTAGAGTCATCAGAGAGCAGGGAGCCTCAATTGACAAAACGCTAAGATCAGGCTGCTAGCAAACCTGTAGGGATTTTCTAGGTTAGTGATTGATGAAGGTATGTGTAGACTATTGTGGGTGGTGCCATCTCTGGGAAGGTGGTCCTGGGTTCTATGAGAAAGCAAGCTGAGCAAACCATAAGGAGCAAGCCAGTAAGCAGCACTCCTTCGTGGCCTCTTTGGGATCCTGCCGCCAGGTTCCCACCCTGTTTGAGTTCCTACACTCACTGCTTTTGATGAATTCCTATATGGAACTGTGAGTGAAATAAACCCTTTCCTCCCCGAGTTGCTTTTGGTCATGGTGTTTTGTCACAGCAATAGTAACCCTAAGACACTATCCAAATCACTCCTTGTGGCTTTAGCCACTGGGGATCTCAGGGTGTATGTCCTGATCATCTATTTCTTGAATAATTATTCACTATATTTTAAGGGTTTGCAAAGCCACATATAGAAATGTGTCAATGTTAGATGGCCAGAAGTGGTGCTCATTCCAGACTATGAGCAAGATCCAAAGAGACAAGAAAAGGCAAGCGCATGTATTGGCCTCATTCTTGACTGCAGCTTTCTCTTTTTCCCCTCCAGATTTATGTTTATATGGTGTGCGTGTGTGTGTGTGTGTGTGTGTGTGTGTGTGTGTGTGTGTGTGTGTCTGTCTGTCTGTCTGTCTGTCTGTCTGTCTATGAAGGCCAGAAGAGGATGTCCAATCTTCTGAAGCAGAAGTTGCAGAAGGTTGTAAGCCCCTCGATGTGGGCACCGGAAGCCACACTCAGGTCCTCTGGAAGAGGGGCCAGCACTGAAGCTTTTCTCCTGCCCTGCATGAGCTGGGTCTCATGTTTTATTTATATAATTTGTGTATCATGTGATAACAGTGTCGTTCCACTTTGGAAGTTAAGGTAATGAACACTCCAGGAGACAAAGTAACCTGACAAAAGCTGCACAACTAACAATCAATAATAATAGTAACCAAGGGTCTGAATGTGACTCCAGGGTATTTTCCAATAGGCCACAATATACAGCCTACAGAATTCAAGTAGATATAAAAAAAAAAAAGGACACAAATAAATATAGCCTAATTGACAATAAAATTCTTGGCACTACTTTTCTTTTTTTTTTTCTTTTCTTTTCTTTCTTTTTCTTTTTTTTTTTTTAACTAATCTAAGTTTATAAACTGTGTGAGTTTCAATTTACCAAGTGCAGAACTTAAAATCATTTAAGCACCTCAGGATTCATAGGGTTCCAGGAACAATAGCGGCTCAGAGATGTCCCCACAGCGCCACAAGCAAGGCTAACTCTGTGTGGTCCTTCATTTTTCATCCAAGTACCTCACACAGGCCTGAAGGTGAGGAGGAGATGTGCCGGCCAACCTGCCTGATTTCCCCAGCTCTGCAGAGTCCGTGCGCCACACGGTTTGCTACATCCACGCCCCTTTGCTTTCTTGGGCAATTGCAGCTTGGACAAGTGAGCGAGAACCCCCGCCCTTGACAGGAACAGTATAAACGAAGGCAGGGCCTCAGGTGCTGTGCTGGCCTCAGACTCCTCTGCAGAAGGAAGTGCTCCCACCTGCTCTGTGCCCTGATGCTGCAGGTGAGTCACCACGCTGCTGCCAGCCAGGCAAGTATTTTAAGAAACACGAAGTGTGAGTAGGAGCCAGCAGAGAAGGATGAGGGCTGGAGGGCTGCCATCAGCGCTGAGGGTGTCTTGTTGTCATGGTGCTAGGCAAATCACTTCCATTTAGAGTCCCACTCACCAGCTGTTTCACTGGAGCTTTTGCATGGGGAGCTGGTAGCCACCCCGGCACAAACGTGGGCCACGGCTGTGCACTCACGCACACCTGTAGCAGACACCCACTCCGGAGGCCTCCCATCGATTGTCTGACGCATGACCCCTGCTGCTGTCTTCCCTCCTGTGACGTCACCGGAAGCTTTGGAATGGAGTCAGCCACAGCAGGGGCCCAACCCAACCTCTGCTCCCCACTCTGGCAGTGGGCTCTGGAATGCCCCTGTGGCCTATTTCTGAAACACTGTTTCAAGGCTCAGGCTCTCAACCTTCTTAATACTACAACCTCTTCCTTGACAGATTTCCTCCTGTCGTGGCGACCAACCCCCACTCCCCCTACCCTCCGCCGCCATAAAATTATTTTCGTTGCTACTTTATACTTTTGTTACTGTTGTGAATCGTAATGGAAATATCTGATATGCGGATGGTCCCAGGCAACCCCTGTGAAAAGGGTTGTTTGACCACAAAGGGGTGGCGACCCACAGGTTGAGAACCACTGACTTAGGCCATTGTGCAGGTAGGTTGCTTCCGGTTCTGCCGGAAGCACGGGTTGAGGGTGGAATGAGGGTGTCGCCCAAAGGTGACCCTGGCACTCCTTGTGGGGCTGCGTTCCGTAGCATGGCACGCTTAGGATGGTAACAACCCCCCAGGCCTGTCTGGGCCTCCATACCGAAACTGCCTTGAGGGGAAGGGCCGGGCCCTGACCTGAGGCTGCACGCCTGTGGGAGTGTTTGCTTCTGCCCATCCTTCATAGGTGAAAGGTTCCTCAGGAGCCTTGAGGATAAACTGGGATCCCCGCTCATTCTTCACACAGCCTGCTCCTGCTTGACCCTTCACCGACCCTTGCTGGGAGTCTCCGCGGACTCTGGGATGAAGGAGAGTGGTCTGCTATCTGTCAGCCATTCCTTAACACTTAAGTAAACCAAGCCTCATCTTGATGGAAAAACAAGCAAGCACCATAGCCGGGCCCCACAGTCCTCTCCCCCCAGATGATGACTTACACGTTTGGAGCAGGTGGGTTTCGTTAAGGGCTCAAATGATTCGGCTCCAAGAGGCCCTCGCACTCATTTTCAAAAGCAACGGGGCAGACACAAGCTGTCAAGCGTGTGGGATTCATCCAGTGAGACCGGCAATTCCTTTCTAAAAGCGGTGTGTGTGAGGGGCTGGATTGTGCCTCCCCTCCAATCCCATTTACGCACTGAAGCCCAACTTCTGGCACCTCAGAACGGGACTGTATCTGGAGACAGGGACTTTAAGGGGGGCAGTTAAGTTACTAATGAGAGATCATGAGAACAGGTCTGAATCCAAACATGGCTGGCGTCTTTCCAAGAAGAAGAAGAGGTAACAACAAAGGAAGAGGATGTGAGCCGAGGAGAGAACGTTGAAGAAAAACCAAACAAAACTGACCCTGCCAACTGCTTGGTCTTGACCTCTGCTCCCAGAGCTGCAGGATGAGACGTTTCTCTTGTTCGGCCCCTCCGTGTGTGGTGATGTGGTTGCGGCAGCCATTGTAAACTAGCACACACTAGGAACCGCACATCAGTCAACACCTCCTCAGAAGGCAGAAGTTGTGTCGGTACAGTGCACACACCAGGCGGGCTTGTGAACCCTGAGTCATGAGCCCCAGACCAAGAGTCCTAGAAGCAGAGTAACACACACACACACACACACACACACACACACACACACACACACACACACACACACACTGGGCATGGCTCCTAGGATTGGGCAGAACTCGGAGACCAGGACCTTCCCCACAGCCATACAACTCTGGAGACTTTAGACCGAGGGTTACTATTGTGATTTTAACAAACACACACCTTGTTCTTGTCTGCCAGGAAGTATTCTGAGGTGGCACGTGTCCTTCCCCATAGCGCTGTGATTTGGGGAGTGGAGGAAGCTCTGACAGCGTCAAGTTCAGAGTGGATCTGTATTTTGACATGAGCACGGCCTGCTAAGGACACCAAGGCCAGTTGGTCTGTGGTAAATTAGCAAAGCCGTTCCCCCACAAAGGTCAGGCTCAAGAGCGACAACAAAGCTTTCCTTAAGAGTCTGAATGAGGGCTTATGAATGACTGATCAGTGTGAGCAAAGACTAGCAACTGCGGCTTCCTCCTCCTGGATGGTTATAGCCTGAGACTGTCCACCCACAGAGACCTCCTACTGAAGCTAGCTAACGGCTCCCCTTTGCTGCACCTGACAGACACATTGAGGTCTCAGGTTGTAGCTGTTAGAGAACCCCACATGGTCCCAGCTCCATTGTATGTGTGTCTTTGCGTCTGTCCTTTCTTCATTTCCTTGTGACCCAGCCAGGGTTCCAGGACCCAAACCACACAGGTCGTGGTGGTGATACATGTGCTGAAAAATCCACAGTCCCTAATTCAAACCCCGGGGGCCAGTCAGGATGCCAGAATTTGGGGGTCTGAAAAAAGTCATAGAATGTGCATATCACAAGCTCCGTGGCATCCTGTAGTATCGGCAGCCACACCCTCTCTGTGTTCAAACAGATGACTAGTTCTCTAAATGTATGTGTTGAATAAATAGAATATTGGAAGCCTGTGTCGATTCAAGATTGGCTTTTGTGTCAGATATGCTTATTTCAGGCCAGATTTTGCTGCCAGATAAGTTATAAATACACTTTTTGGTACTCAGAGCTCTTGGGGTTTTGAAACTGTGAAGTTGCCTCATCATCTTGGAGACGAAAAAGCTGAGAGGAAATGCTTGCCACATTTGTCGACCCACAGGAGATGGGGCTAAGCTCCTGCTCCACAGTGGGGCTCTGGAGTCCATGCACACATGCTGTGATGGCTGTTCTTGGTTGTCAGCTTCTAGTCTGGACCTTTGAGGCAGGAAGACACACACGTTTGATTTGGTTCTTGAGGCCTGAAGACACACACCTTTAATCCAAATCCTGAGGTGGAAAGACATACCTTTCATTTGGGCCATCTCTTCTGCCTCTGCCTTTACAATTAGACCACGCCAACTCAGAGGTCTATATAAGGACATAGAAGAAGGAAGCTTCTGCTCTTTACCTCCTTGCCCTCGCCTTACCAGAACATCCATTCCTTCACTAGCATCGGAGCCTCCTTCTTTGGGACTCAAGCACATACAAAGACCAGCTGAGACATCCAGCCTTGTGAGACTGAGAAACCTCTAGATTCTTGGACTTTGCATTCACAGATAGCCATTGCTGGATTAGCTGGACTGCAGCCTGTAAGTCATTCCAATACATCCCCTTTACATATACATATAGAGAGATTCATTCCATAATTTCTGTGGCTCTAGAGAACTTAGACTAGTACACATGCTTCTGTTGGGATGTGTCTGTGCTGCCCGCCTCACTGGGCCTGGCTCATCAGTAGAATGCAGATCACAGCAAGCTTGCGGCCCTCCATGAGGATCTAACGCAGTATAGATGATTTCTGGTATAGACTGAATTGTGTCCTATAAAATTCATACATTGAAGCCCTAGTCTCAGTACCTCAAAATATAACCTTATATAGAAAGAGAGTCGTGGCAGACAATGAGTCAAAATGAGGTCACTGGAGTAGGCTCTGATCCAGTGTGAGTGGCATCCTTAATAACAAGAACTTTGGACGTAGAGAAAGATGCACACATGGGAAAAGAGAGATTAAATCAATGCTTCTACAAGGTAAGGAATGGCAGCGATGGCTAGAAAACCATCCAAGAGGGGCACAGGACAAAGCCTTCCCTCCTACCTCAGAAGGAAATGACCCTGCCAATGCTTTGATTTGGGACTCCAGAGCTGCGAGACGATAAACATCTGCTCTCTAAGACAAGCTCGTTGTGGAACTTTGTAACAACAGTGTTAGCTGATCAGAACACAGTCCTTACTCAGGATGAAATTCTCCAATCAGTGAGTGGGAACCCACCATCTCTAGTGTCGGCAAGACATTTGATTGTTTGTCTGTCTATTGTGACAGAGGTGGCGCCCAGGGTTTGGTACATACTAGACAAATGCTTTACCACTGAGCTAACCTCTTGCTGTTCAGTTATGTCACTAAAAAATACTGAACTCGATGACGTTTAAGACCTCTCCCTAGTCTTATCTATGCTCATGGCAGCTCAACTCAGCTCCACGGGGACGGATGACCTGGCCCTTCCAACCCTTCTTTGCTGTCATTTTAAAGATAAGCTAGTGTGAAGGTGATCTTAAAAAACAGCTTCTTTTCCTGTGCTGTGAGTTATGTTCCTAGACATTAAAATGAAATCGATTTAAAATGTGGCTCTCTTCACCTGCCCTTTATTGAGGCAGCTCCTATTGTGAACTCTCTTGAGTTGTCTCTGTTTGCGTCCTCAGATCTATGGAGTTAAACCCACACCATGTGTTTGGGTTACAAATTCTGCAGAAGGACACAGAAAGCTAAGCTGGAGGTCATTTTCTGTGACTTAAAATTATGTCACCAGGGCCCTATGTAGGCCTGGGGAGTTTGGGCTCTTCATGTGGAATATGATCCCTCAATACCATTTCACTGAGCAGATAAAAAAAATCTGGTCTAAGAAGGCTTAAAAGCTGTTGGTTTTATTGTCCATAAGTCAAGGTGTGATTAGGTCCTGTCCAGAGAAAGAAGTCAAAATACTGAAAAGTTTGTCCCGGGCCTTAGTGGCAGGCAGGAGTCCCTGTCTCAGAGCTGGTTTGGGACTTTGAGCCTCTGCCCTCACACTTTGACCACACCAGAAGTGAGTTGCTCTGTGGGTGGGCATGCCCCGAAATCCCCATCTGTGGAACCTTAAAGGCTGGGTGTGTTCAAAGGACAGGCTCCACTTTTCTTCCAGCCCCCCACCCCCATCTGTGGCTGGCCATGTGGCGATACTCTCAGGCCTCTCTGGCTCCCTGTCAGCCTGCCCCTTTGCTCTGGAATTTGCTCCCAGCTCCATTTCTGGAAGCATTTCTCCACTGAACCCAGGGCTGCCAACCTCACTGCGGCCCCAGCACCATCAGCTAACACTTGTTTAAGGTTTCACTCTCGCTCCTGTGCCATGCTGCTCTCCCACAGTTTTAGAAGTGTGCTTCCCAACGGAGGTCTGTTGAGTATAAACGTCTGAAGGGCGGAAG